AACACTGTGACTGTAGAGGTCGCTGTTTTTGGGAATCATGCACTGAATAGCACAATCTTGCATTCATATGTTCCAACCTGGCTAACCCCCAAAATTCTTATTAGAATCTGCCCAACACCTAAAATCGACACCCTACTCCAAAAACCCTAAACCCGATTCCGGACAGCCTTAAAAACCCATGAAATGAAATCCCCATAAACGCCCGTAACAAAAAAACTGATATTCAGATAAGAACCTGCTTATGTAGGGCTTGTCGGGTCTACCCCACCCAAAACCCTAAGTTTCTACACAAGGCTTCAAAGGGCAACCCTACTTGGAGGGTCGGGGTACTTTGGAAGTAGTTGCTTTATTGGTTTAAAAGAATCATAACCCCAATTTAGGGTCCCTTTGGGGGGTACTTACAACCCTATAAAAAAAAAAAGTACTGGTATTTACTAAGTCCCCCAAAATAACTACTGTATTTACTAAGTCCCCCGGCCCTCCAAGTAAGTAACCCTGAACTCTAAGCCCTTCCCAAACCCCGCGGCGGAGTGTTTCTTCACCGCAGCTCCGGCAACATGCTCCGTGGTTCGGAGGAGTCGCGAGGCCTGGAAAGAAACTTGTTAAGGAGCTAAGGTCTGTTAGAATTCCTTCGAGCCTTATGTAGGGTTTAAGGTGTAAGGGTTTGCAGAGGCTTGCTACGGTTTGCGTTTGGCAGTAGGGCTTCTGTAGAGCTTCATAGGCACCGGGAAGGTTCTATAAACATCTTTCAATACTGAGCCTATTTCGGGCTTGTGTGCGAATATTCGGGGTTGATGTAGGGCCAGGGTTTACGTACTCGGAAACATAGGGGCCTGACTGATTGGAACAGGGCTTTGGTCCAAGTTTTGGTGTATGCCATACTGTAAATAAACACCTTTGGCTTTTGCTTCCCGCAAAAGGACCCGTCTACCTAGCTGCCCGGTCGGCCCATGGCATAGGACTCAAGTCTGAAACCGGCACCTCAGAGATAATTTGGCCGTTCGAAGCATCCACAAACCCCGAAACTCACTCTCCCCAACCCAGAATCGTCCCCATCCTAAACCCTAAACCATCCTAAACCCCAAACCCTAAGAATGCACACCTCAAAACCGCGCGCCCCTGTAAAACATGAACCTAGACCTCCAAAGCGTATCACGTGGGGTCTTGGATGTGTGGTTTTGGAAGACGGCCTAACGGTTTGCGGTGCGAAGTCTTGTAGGGCTGAGGAACCGGCATTTAGATTCTGAGGGTTCGAGGTGTACAAGCCCCAGAAGCAGCAGTTCATTGTTCCAAGTCCCGTGTCCGAACTGCCAATCAAGGCCCCACAAAAACCTGAACCCTGAAAGCGTTGCAAGCCCACAAAACCGCCCTAAGCTCACATCCTATAATGAACTGCAAACATGTATGTGTGTGTATATATATATATATATATATATATATATATATATATTCATTTATATATATATAGATATATATATATGAAGTTGTCTCTCTTTATCTATATCCTGGACCCTGGCATCTGATTAGCCATAGAGCCTGAAACCCTGAGATCCGCACCTTCGCCCCAATTCCCAAATTCCATCCCCAGAGACTCCAATACCCCTTAATTAAGGAATATTCCTTAAATCATATTAAGGATCCTACTATAATTTAAGGTATATTCCTTAATTAAGGGATATTGGAGTCTCTGGGTCGATCGCATCACCAAGTGTGTCGCATCCGTTCTTCGCAGTGCCCGGGCAACAACAATAGAGTTAGTTAAGGGCTCAGGGTTTACGGCTCAGGGATTATGAGTAACTGGAAATAATGACACACAGTCAGTGTAAAAGGAAGTGCGCATTCACAGTCTAGGGTCGCGGTCGAAGCTTGCAGGCAAGACACCTTCTGCTGATCACAGATAGTCGGATGTGATCTGTGGCTCCGGCATGAACACCTCGAAACAGTGCATCTTTGACGTTGATTTGGGTTCAAGTCGTAGTATGTCGGAATTTTTGTGACAGGTCTCCCGATGTGTTTTGTGCTTGGTGATTAAGAGGATCTGCAGATGCTCGGGTTGAAACGCGAGGGGCGAGGACTTGCTGGCAGGACCTGACATGGAACAGCTGCACTACGTTGTTTCTATGATCCGGCGGGACACCACCGCTGTAAGAGAACCTTGATACTAAAATTACTATAGTCAGATACCTTCCCAGAGACTCCAATATCCTTTTGTTAAGGAATATTCCTGAAATCATATTAGGGATCCTATTATAATTTAAGGAATATTCCCTAATTAAGGGATATTGGAGTCTCTGGGTTCCTGCAGTGCCAACAAAACCCTACGGGCCCCAAGGCGCTACTGGCACCCTCGACCGACCCCCTCAAAATCCGAAAGACTCGACCCTAGACCCCAAACCTTCCCTCAAACCGAAAACCGCCTAAAATTCAAAACCTAAGCCTAAATACCTAAACCCTCAAGACTGAAATCACCTGAACCCCAGATGGACCTATCTACACCCAAACCCTCAACACTTAACCTTCAAACTGAAACGCAAACATACCTAAGCACGGATCTGCAAGATTCTTGAAGCCCAGCCTGGAGGGCGCTGGAGGAAATCCTCGCGGGGCCTCAGGAAAATCTTGGAATTCCTATTCACTTGATTTTGCAGCTCTGTCCGGCGAGCTTATTACGGCTCACACCAAAACTGACAGTCAAAACAAGGCATGTATCCCTCACAAACCCATGCCAACAAGAAATCGTGCCGCCTGGCTGGCTCGCATTTTCAAAGTTACAACCCATGCAATGAAGCCACAACAAGCAAGCAAAACCCCATGCCCGCATTGTCGCTTCGCTCGAGACACGAAGCTTCGTTTGTTGAAAGTTTTGGGACGTGATCCGGTTGAAGCTTTTGGGATGGAGAACGAGCTTTGGAACCGAAACTTCTATGTCTTTGTACCGTTACTCACAAAGCTCGAAAAGCTGAAAGGATTCTGAGGAAGGTTTCAATGGCATGGCGTGTCAGATAAGAAAACAAATGAATTTCAAGTGTGCCTAAATTTGGTTTAAATGTTGCTTTAAACGGGGATGAACTGGAGCTTAAGATCTGGATAAGAAAGTTCAAGTTAAAGGAAGTGTGGTTTGAAAGGGTCTTAAAGCGGACTCAATAGCAGACGGGGCTAAACAAGGCTTAACGGAGGTTCGACTGGTTGAGACGTGATTAAGGGCTCAGGAGACCGCAAATCCAAGCAACGGTGTTGAAAGCGTTTAGACGCGCTTAAGAATCGCAAACCCAGAATGCGAATATGTTACGCGCAGTCTTTTGAGGGGTACCTGGAAAAGGTTCGAAAGGGTTGAAAAAGCTCCACCTCAAACATGCAAGACTCGGCCAAGGCTTCTCAACACCCGCTCAACACGCACTCGAAACCCGATGGAAACCCTCTCAGCACTTCGAACCTGAGCCTTTGCAAATACAACACAGACTAAATCCGTAACCCTGACAGGGAGCTTGCTGCCAAGGGGCGGTTAACCCATGCTGGAACGTCTGCAACTTTCAAAAGTCTGCAGACCTGCCAGCGTCTGAGATTGTGGGTGCCGACGCTTCGGTGAGGCTGGATGCGACATGTATTGTCACTTGTGATAGAGCAGGACGTCAGGCGCAGAATCTCGATCAGCAAATCTACCCATCAGGACTATTGACTACAGACTAGATTGTCGATGGCATGACCCGGACAACAGCACGAAAGGGGAAACAATCGGCGTGCCAGCCTTGGTTGCAAAGTCTATGCAGTTGTTCTGCAGCAGACTGTAATCGCGGCCGGAGCAGGTGGCCTCCTGTGGCTTTCACACGTCGTTGCGACCGTGCTTTTCCAGCCCCAACAGCACATGATGAAGCTCCTCCGTTTCATGCATATCCGTGCGGAATTAGGACCGGTCGGACCCCGAAGGACAAAAGGCTGTCCTAAGCATCGAAACTTTCTTGCTGCAGCAGAGCGTCGAGGGTGCTGTACAGAATATCCAAATCTCGCTTCGAAAGCGTCGTTGAGCCCCTCCAGTAGGATCAGGGAATTACTGCACGAGCGAGCTTCAATAGCCCTTATGCGCTTGTCCCAACCAACACTGGCATCTTTCTCACTTCAACAGAACAGTAAGTGCTTGAAAAACCTGCAAGCTGGAAAGGTGTGAGCTGCTGTTGGCAGCAAACCACAGCCGTAAGTCCACCCTGCATCCACAACGAGATCTCGACCTCCGAACATGCCCCAACCCCCGGCGATCCAGGCTGCAGTTTCAGAATTTCATATTTGCTGACACTGGCCATGAGCAAACTGTAAGGCGATTGCTAAAGCGCAGGGTTTGTGTGCAAGAACATAAATTTCGGATGATCTGGCACGACGTTAGAATATGAATACTCGTTCGATCGGGCATCCTCTGTTGCGACAAGCGGGCTTCTTTGTTGTGTTTCATGCAGGACCAAATAAGCGGTTGAGGTAGATGCCATAGACGCCATAGACTGCACTGCAAAAGTTCGTGTGCTTAGTCCTCGCCTCAGGGCTGTGACTCCACGTCTGCTTACTCTTACACACTGCCGAGGCACATAAGCAGCCCCATTGCATGCTGCCCAGGCACATTGGGATGCTCTCGCGGAAATGGTGCATCTCGGCACCACGCGGCTTGTGGCGGCAGACACCGCTGCCGCTAAGAGTGGCTCCGAAAGCCCACCTTTCTCGATCCCCGAGCCGTTTAGGGTTGAAGGTTTAGGGTTTAGGGTAACCATGACTAAACCTCCAGTCTCCAAATCTGAACCTTCTCCTAAACCTCAGCATATGCTGTCAAATGCGGTCCTCCAGCGTGGACACTGGAGGCCGCACTGAGCTCCATGATGATCCCTTAAACCCAATTTCTTCGTGACACTTCTGCCTTCAATGATCTATGCACTGGGCCACCCAAAATGGTAAAGTCTGGTCAGCGACCCCTGGCTGAACGCAGGAAACACGTACGTAGAACCTCGACCCGCTATGTTTCATCAGCTCAGGCACTCTTCGTCTCCAACTTGCACGCCTACGTGGAAGAAGCCACCGAGCTTGACCTCGGATTCTAACATGGACGGCCGGCTTGGATCACTTTGCTGCACGCTACGTCGACTACGTACTACATACTATGCCGATTGTGACATGTAGTGAATGTAGTTCGCGCTGTGATACATTGCTTCCAGGACAACTGCGCTTGCGACTCGGGCCCAAAGTCGGGTCGCCCGCGGTCCAAACGCGGCCTAGTCACAGGAGCATGCTCGTAGGCGAACAAGGTGTTAAACCATCGCACCTGGGAGACTCAGTGCGGTGCCAAATCCGTGAACGGCAACGTGCACAACGCCCTCACAACTGTGTGCGTTGAAGTCTTTTGTTATCGACCTCGAAAACTCTTCTCCATGCCTTCTCCCATGCACGCTTCAATCAACAGAGCCATAGACCAGAGAGGCACAAATGGCAACGCAAAGGATTGTACCGCTTCTACACGGTCTACACGATCTGCTCAGAAGACTCCACTTCTGAAACGGACTCCCAGCCACGGGCTCCAAATTCGAAACGTCGTAGATGTTCAACACGATGTCAACACCGCAGGCCTGGAAAGGACATCGCCGGAAGGCTCGGAGATTCACCTAAGGGGAACCCTAAACCCTAAAACTCTAAACCCTGAAACCCTACACCCTAAACCCAAAACCTTTACATGTTTCGGGTTTTAGGGTTTACGGCTTGGGCTTTTTGGGTCCGGTTTGCGTCGGAAAGCTCAGCATAACATAGGCGCGCGGATGAATGTTCGGGGAACCCTAGGCCCGAAAACCCTAAAACCAAATGGAAGCGACACTAAGTGGGGTCACTCTTTGGGAGTTGTGGTTTAAGTTGAAGTGTAGGGCTTGTAGGGCTTATGGGGTTTAGGGCTCAGGTTGTAGGGTTTAGGGCAGGGCTTATAGGCTTTCGGTTCCAGGTGGGGTTATCATTAGATACACCCCACCTTTTAATGCTGCTACTTACGAAGAACTCATGCTCCTTCAATCACACCCTCGTGAAACTACTCCCAACGAATCTGCGATTGATTCGGCTACTTGCCTTTACAACGAATTCTGTGCTTGCGTCAGCACCTTTAACCGCACACCTCAAAGTGCTGAACCATTGTCCAGACTTGAGTGATTCAATGTTACTGCTCCGGCTTTCGTGGTTTAGGCTCGGTCGTCCAGCTTACCGGTCGCAAGCATCTGAACCTCCCGCTTCAGTGGACCTCAAACCCGGGATGTGCTCTCAACCCTATACTTCCCACATCCTAAACCCTTGCCTCTTACCTATATGCACGAAAGTTTCAAGTTAGCAGCTCACTCGCCAAGTCCAAGTCGAATCTCAGGGTCCGCATTGAAAGAAATGACCTCGACCCTTCAGTGCTTTTTCAGGGATCCCAACGCGGCAACACTTCCAAACGGGCCCCATCTCAACCCGTATGATGGTGATGTGGACGGTTCTATTCTGCGAAGATCTTTTAAGCGCTTTGGGTCTACATTACATCTTTACAATCCGTTTGGGCTGCGGGGTTGAACAGTTGGTGGTTTGGGTAGAAATCCAGGCCTCGTGGTCCAACAGTGGCTCTTCTTCTTCGACCTTCATAGAATGGATGCTCTAATATCATTCTCGAAGCTGTGGCACCTAATGACAGCGTTACGACTTACCCAGGACCCTACTATACCAAAACGACTCCCCGGTCTGGGCCGGGAGGATTGACCCCAAGGCTCAGTCGGCAGGTTCCAGGTGAAGCGATCATTAGATAAACCCCATCAAGGTAATTGGCTCTAACCCCAACAACCTACACACTAGGGTTAAGGGTTCAGGGTTTAGGACCCATGATCCTTCAAGCTTAGCTCCTAAACCCTGAACCCTGAACCCTCAGCCGGTAGAGCCTTCCAAAGCGCTTTTGAATCAGAGACCCAGGGCTTCTCTAGAGCTGGAGGTCTTGGGTACTCGCGTATGCTAGCGCCCTGAATCATTGTCCCGCCTTGAGGGTTTCAGACCTTCGACTCAGGAGTTTAATGCGTAGGCTTAGTTGTCCCGTGTATAGGTCTGGAACCTGAGAACCGCTTTCTTGACTTGACCTCAGACCCGGGAAATCTTGCGTAGAGGCTTCAAGCAAACAGCTGAACTGTTCCAGCAAGGTCTCGCGTCCGCATTGACAGAACTGGCTTCGAACCCCTGCCTTCTACCCAGTCCCCGAAAGCATCCCTCAAGGGGGAACAACCCTTTGCTAAACCTTTGCCATGCATCCCTACAAGAGACACGGCAATCAATAGTTAAGCCTTAAGCTTCAAAAGATCACAAGCCTGAACCTCAGACCCCTACATCATCGACCCTAGACCTTCACCCCTAAGGACTTCGACACCCGACCCTCAACACCCTAGCACTGTGTTTGAGGGTTAAGTGTTCAGCGAACCTTAAACCAAGAATCCCACAACACCCCTAAGCCCCGGCCTCACTGCCAACTGAGGCAGGGCTCTTTGGCACCTGCTCATCAGGCCTCCAGAGGATACTAAGGATTTGTTCTTTTGAAGAGTTTGTACCGCCTGTGACTAACTTTGGGGGGATGGGGCTTTGAAAGATTTCGAAGCTGCCGGGGCATAGCAAGTAAGTCCAGGTTCTAAGCAGGGCTACATCGAACAGATCACCCCTAAGTAGGGCATACTTAAAAGTCCAAGTCATAGTAGACCAGCTAGACCGTAAACAGGAAGATGGATTACGGATGATGGAGCACATTGGATCAATGGTCAAGGCTTGGCATTCACACCATAGCTGTTGAACCCCCGCAGACTCTGATGCGCCATCCTGCGATTCCAAGATCGGCTTGCGAGCCTGACACATGTGGGCTTTCATCCAACAACCTAAGTCGTCATACTCGCCCTCTATGCCGACCCCGCATGACCTCCTGGCGTGGTCCAACTGCATGTTGATCCAGCGAGGTGGCATGTCCTTGGATGTCGGCTACCCGCCCACCCGAGGTTTGAAAATCCAAACCCATTATGCATGATTTTGATGCCAAACCTGCAAAGGCCCTGCAACGTCATGCCGAGAGGTCTGTGCGAACACTTGCAGCAGAAGTGCGAACGGACAACGACAAAACCGAAACTGAAAGGCCATGACTCCAGCCCCCGCCGCACACGCACGCCAATGTGCTGCTCTTTGAGGGCCATGTCCTCCAGAGGAATGCCAGGACAAAATTCAGTGGAAGCGTTGGCTTGTGAGTGGAGACCAGCACATCTACCACCGACGTCACCCCTCAGCCACCTCAAAACCCAACAACTCTTGCTCAACGCCCTCCACATCTCAATTGCAGAATGTTGGGAAAGTACATCTCAAACTTAAACATCAGCACACGTCATCCGGCATCCTCATTGGGAACGCAGGGCTCTTGTCCGGCAGCAGTGTTCCAGCACGTCTGATGCAACTCCTGACTGAGGAAGCTTTCGGAGTCAGGGGGACGAAAGGTTCACCTGCGACGTTTTGTAAGGGTTGCGAGCCTTGTGCCATCCACGACACCACCGCTATAAGAGAACCTTGATACTAAAATTACTATAGTCAGATACCTTCCCAGAGACTCCAATATCCTTTGTTTACGGAATATTCCTTAAATCATATTAGGGATCCTATTATAATTTAAGGAATATTCCTTAATTAAGGGATATTGGAGTCTCTGGGTTCGGCATCTGGCGGCTTCACGGCTCGCAAGCAGAGCCTCAGGGCCCGCTGCTGAAAGACATGACTTCGAAGCCTGCCTTCTCAGAGACTCCAATATCCCTTAATTAAGGAATATTCCTTAAATTATAGTAGGATCCCTAATATGATTTAAGGAGTAGTCCTTAATTAAGGGATGTTGGAGTCTCTGGGTTCTCCTAAAGCCCACTGCAGATCCCGAAACGGGAACCCCTGTCAAGAACTGCCATGTCTCAACCCATAGCATGGTGGGGTGGAATGTTCTCTTCTGTTTGGATCCTTTGACAGCTGGACTACATCCGGACACACCAAACAAAACAGAAAGTCCAAGGTTGTGATGTTTTGGGCTTAGAGGTTTGTGGTTGGGACATGGCACGTACGATCTTGGAGTGTCTTCAGGTTGAAGGTGTGAGGTTTTGGCAGGTGCGGTCATAATATGTATGGTTTAGAGTTTAGATGCTTCAAAACCCTATCCCCGCTACGTACACCCGTCATACCCCCGGCCGTGGTGTTTCACAAACCCTGAACCCTTTGCTAAACCTATGCCATGCGAAACACGACAATTGCCTAACCGCTCCCCAAACAACCGCTATTAAAGCAGGTGCAAGCACAATCTCTCTCTTTGTTTTCACACGTTGGTCGTAAAGTCGCATCTCTCGCTAGTCGGTCGGATTTTATCCAAACCGAAAACTCAAGAGTGCAGGGATCTCACCCGGGAGCGGGCGGGTGGGTAAAAGAATCGGGTGAGATCCTTGAGACCAAAATGGCCACGGCGGATGCTCACTCAGTACCCGCCAACCACGCGAGGCAATTGTCATGTCAACACCGGCAAGCCTCTGTTTAGTACGACAATTGCCTAACCGCTCCCCAAACAACCGCCATTAAAGCAGGTGCAAGCACAATCTCTCTCTTTGTTTTCACACGTTGGTCGTAAAGTCGCATCTCTCGCTAGTCGGTCGGATTTTATCCAAACCGAAAACTCAAGAGTGCAGGTATCTCACCCACTTGACTTTATCGCCCAACTGCCAAAGAGAGTCCCCACCTGTTATAGCGGCTATGGGTGATTATGAGGAGCTCTCCGATGACGAATCAGATGTATTCGTCGAGGTGGAGGAGGCTGAAGAGCTGGCTGAAGAGCTTGCTCTGCCTCTTCTTGGGAAACATCTCTTACACTTCTTTCCCTCGAATTCGCTATCCACCCATTGAAACAGCGTGTTGTCACGCGCAAAAGGCCAGGCGCAGTAGGTTCGCCAGTGTCTTGGGTGTAAAGCGTTTCGCGGATCATCGAGGTCAGTTCTGCATCGATGTATTTTCCCACCCGGAGAGCGGTTGAAAACCAGTCGCTCGCTCGAATTTGCAGGGATTGGAGGCGGAGGCTCGTCCTGAACAACTTGGTTGTCGTCCTTCCATTCCTGATCCGGGATAGCAAGAAGAGGCTTTGCTTGCGCGAGGAGCCTTTCCAACTCTTGACGCGCCCGTGCCAACGAATCGTTGTGACCAGCTTCAATGGCCAGCTCGCTCAGCCTGCAAAGAGGGGCTTCGCGAATGTAACGAAGGATCGCGTCTGAGTCCCATCTCCCAAAGATCTGGATCCTCCACAGCTCGACCCCTCTAGAGGCAAGGAATTGGGCCCCGGAGGCTCTGGCCGAATGCCCTGTGAAGCAACGAGCGCCGTTGCTTGCATGAGTTGGGATCCCAAGAGCGTGCGCGATGGCTTGAAAAGTGTCGGCCCAGCCGGCTTTAGTTGGCGCCCTGCCATGGATATCTGTACAGACCGGAGCATCAGGCCCTCTATTGACTCTATTGCCGATGAGAGCCAGAATGGTGTGGTAGGGGCACAGCTTCGTAGGTAAAACCGAGCAGGCACAGGAGTGTTTCCTTGTGGCTCCCAGGGCTGTAACGTCCGTCTTCGACGAAGGGAGAAGCCATGCCACAGTTTTCGTCGCTTCGTCGACGGTTATGTGTTTGATCTTGGCCGGTGAAGCCTCGATCTCGCGAAGCATCCACCACGAGGCTGCAACCGTCGCCTCAATTGGTTGAGCTGGCCCACCAGAAACAACGCAGTCTGCTGAGGGAACCTCTGGCAGCTTGTCGAGAGGTAAAGCGGAAGCCTGCTTCGGGGGACCCAGTGCCCGTAGGCAAGAGCGGGCGCAAACCCTGTAGGCCAAGGCTAACTGATCTGTCCAATGGTGACCTTCCTGGATGTGTTGCTGCTTGGCTAAGTCGAGGTACTGCATAGCAGAACGATAGCCTGCAGATGTAAATGCACCCATCACCGAATACATTCCTTCCGGTGTCAGGTTAAACGGTTCGAGTCTGGCTCTGTTTGAGAGCTTGATCCAAAGCTTGAGCCTGGACTCTACCGGACCGTATGCTGTAATAGCACGAGAATCTGCTAGGAGAATTTCCTTGCATTTGTCAGGCTGGCTTATCGCATCCAAGGCGATGCTAGCCTTGCCACGACTATAAGGTGCGGGTTCCCCATGCCTATTTTCGGGACGTGGCCCGCTATCCTCCCTTCCTACGCTCCCTGCTTCCGACCCTGCTTGCGGCTGGGGCTCGTCCACACTAGGTCGCACGAGTGCAGGACCTTCGTGTAGAACTCCCCGTTACCGCTGCGTGGCCTGTGGCACGGGAGGGTCGCTAGGCCAAAAGCGCAAAGCGAGCGACCGCTTGGCCTTGGGCATCTCGGCTTCGGCCTGGCAGCAAGGACGTGAAGCCGTGGCGCGGAGCAGAAGCGAACGCAAGAGAGAGACGGGAAGCAGACAAAAGTGAACAACACCCACCACTTTTACACCACTTTCCAGAAGTGATCGCCGAGGTCCACCTCGGCTCGAGGCGTGTCCAAGAGCTCCTCGGGAACGGTCTTTCGTTCGGGAGCGAAAACTCTCGAGAGAGCCTCCGACTGTACATTGGAGACTCCCGCGATGTGAACCAGCCCTCGGACCTGGTAGCACCTGATGGCCTGGTCGTAGGCAAACTCTCTGGCAAGGACGTTTAGCGCTGGTGACCTCGCGCTGCCTTTGGAGAGTGCCTTGAGAAAGCCCAGGTTGTCCGACTTGGCCCGGAAAACGGAGCCGTGCGTGAGGCTCACCAACCACAGCCTGAAGGCCACCAGCAAAGCTAGCCCTTCCCAAAGCGTGTTGTGTTTGGAGAGGCCACGCTCTGCGCCAAACTTGGTGAGGAGGTTGTCCGGGAGGTGGCTGCTGAAGTAACTCACCGGCTTGCCGTTCAGCCGACAGACTCCTCCTATTCCCCAAGGCGAGGCTTCCGTGACCAGCTCGAGGTTCGAAGTCGGCGGGTCGGCGTAGTAGACGCGCTCCAGCGTAGTTCCACCACTCAGTAGAGCCCGGATCCACCGCAAAGCCGGGGCTATCCTCCGAACATGTATAAGCTTTCTGGCCTTGTTCAAGGGAAGGCCGTCATCCGTTATATCATGTCTCGAAAGCGCCGCCCAGAACGTTTTGCGAGGAACGGTGGAACCAAGCCAGCGACGAAGGAGAGGGCGCCAGCGTAGGATCGTAGCTCTCGCGCCCCTATCACCGAGCGCCCGAGGTGCCGCTCGGTGTCTGCGAGAAGTTGCTGCACCTTGCCCTCCGGGATGGTGACGGTTACTGCTCGGTCCTCGTCGTTGCACGAGAGGTGTGCTCCCACCCATTCCAGCGACTTTCCGCCCGAAGCCTTGGACAGCTTCACCGGCTGTCCATATAGGAGAACCACCGTGAGGTCGAGGGCCGCTGTGTCGAGGTCGGGTCCTCGCGTCCACGTAGACCTGTGGGTCCGCCAAGCTCACCGCGGCCGTGGTTCGTCCTAGCCAGGCCGCCATCCTGCCCCAAAGGGTCGGTGAGGAGGCTGAGCCGAACACCAAGGTGTTGAAGATGACGATGTAGAACTTGCCCTTCTTGTTCCTCCAATTGACCGCCGCCGTGGTGTAGCTGCGGTCCGCCCCGGCGGGTATGTTCATAAAGGCGTCCCGTATGTCGACACCCGCCAGGTAGGGCTTGCCTCCTCGCCGGTAAATCGCCAAGAGGGAGAAGACCACGTCCAGGAGGCGAGGTAGGATGACCCTTTCTCCTTGGTCACAGGCTCGGTTGACCGCGGATTCCATATAACCCTCGCCTTCTTCGTGGGCCGCCCTTGGGCATCCATCTTCACCTTCACGATGACCCCGAGCTTGTTGAGCACCGGGTTGGTTGCGAGGGTCGCGGCCGCTTCCTCGTAGGTATTCGCCTTTGTGCAGAAGCCTCGGGCAACATAGTCCTGGATCAGGTCCTCCAGGATGGCTGCCTCCTCCTCCTCGGCCGAGCTGTAGTTCTTCCACCCTTCTAGCGTACGTCTGTGGATCTGGTTGGGCGGCAGAGTGTCCAGCGGCTTGGTTGGAGGGAAGACGCCGTTGGTCCCGATGGGCTCCTGTATGGCTGTCGGGGTCCTCGTCCGCGTCCGTTGCCGCATTGATGGTGTCGCCCCCAGCACTGTAAGC